TGTGTGTGTGTGTGTGATCACATGCTGCTTTTATTTGTTACGTCAAATTATAACTATGCCAGTTACATCAGTGGCCAGTGGTGGGCATGTGTGCAACCTGGTGTGATTACATTTGTTCTTTTTTTTTTAAAGGATAAAGATAATCTTAGCCTACTGTTTGTGCATCATATTCTTTTATCAGATTTATGCTTTGGATGAGTGGACCTAATTTGTTTACATCTGTATATCACTTGAGCTATAAATCATGCTCTCAACTAAAGCAACACACAGTAGTTAGTTCATAACAGACACCACAATGTGGAAACCCACATTTAAAGCAAGACTGTGCTGAACAGAGGTCACTGTGGCTACAAGTGACAGTAATGGGACTAAAATGCTAAACTAATGTAACACCAGTGCAAGTGGAGAAGAGTCTTGCAAACCTACACAGTGATGTTCCTTATACAGTAATATTTACATGAGGTTTGCTAACATTAGCCACCATAAGCTTCTAGTCATACCAGACCAAGTAAGGCTTTAACTGCAAAACCACCTCAGTGTATTGAATTGAGCAAATGAATTGTGTTTTATTGCTAATGAATTCAATCTGTGAGAGAGAGAGTGTGTTGATGCTTCTTTCAAAAGTGACATTGTCTTCACTTTAAATCCTATGAAGACCGGTTGATTTGGCATTTAGACTTTTCCGTCACCCCCGCCTTTTGTGGTTATACTGTATATAGATAAGATTAATCTTATTAAAACAGAGGTGCATGAAAACAATGTGACGCAGAACAGTAAGCAGACATCTCATTATTTTTGCTGCGCATAATACAGTAAGCCATATTCCTCGGTAATTGGCAGGTACAGTGAATGTAGCACCTTTTCAGCATGAATTAGAAATTACACCCCTCCTGAGGTGCTCTGGTTGTACAAATGGAAAATATGACAGAACCACTTTGAGTATTGTTGCAGAGATTTTAACCAGCCTGTGGAGTTTTGATGACCTGCATAACCAGATAGAGTAGCTTGAATTATTTGATTGTGTGTGCAGAGTTGAGTCTCTCAAATCATGAGTGCAGGATCAATCTTATGTGTGGTATTAAATATATAAGGTTTGCAACTAACAGAAATAATATTCTGGCAGTTTCAAGTTATATAACCGTATTTATTTATTTTTGCATGACCTGGCCTTTAAAACTTTTTAATGTCATCATGTTAGGGATATTTATTATTCTGTTTCCACCCTTTTGTGCTGGGAAATAAAGAAATCTACAAAGATAAGCCTCATATGCAGCATTTGATAAGCATCAGACGGTCACAGATTGTTGTGTGTCATGGTGTTTTGTTCTGTTAAAGAGAGTTTAGTTGTGGGTTCTTAATAGTTGTGTTATAAAGGAACTGAGTAAGAAGGGTATGCAGTTAATAGGTCCCCCGTCTCATTACACGCTACACAGCTTGCCCGGACCGTTACGCTCTTCACTGTGAAAACAATATTGCTGCCTATTGAAGAGCTACAGCAGTTGTTTCAGCTAAACATATGGCGGTACATGAAAATTTCCTGTCATATGGGAAATTCAAACCACTAGTTCATCTGGTATACCGTCCAGCACTAGTTGCAACGGTAGGAG